ATTCGCTATCACAATTTCTCATTTATTTAATCACAGACTATTAGTTATTTCAAACCACCCCATACAATTAGTGAGAGTTATTTTGTCATGTAAACTATTTACTGATAGTGTATTAAAGTAAATAAAATTTATTTTTACATACCAAAAAAAAGTGCTCTTATTATTCGAATTTCATGTTGGATCGTTTGAAGTTGTTGTTTGTTTACTGTTGGCATTTTTTTTTGGTGTCTTATTCACTACAACTCCAGAATATTTTTGCATCGTGTTAGAATCATTTATCAATAGGGGGTATAGGGCGAAGCTTCAGGAAAACTTGTTATTCTATGGTGTCCAATGTCATATACCGTTTATTACTTGTTAAAATTTACTAGTTTTTATCCGAGGGATTGTGTTTTGGCGTTGGTCTTCTTCTATGCTACTTTGCTTAAAGATTTTTCCAATAAAACTATTGAGTAAACTGGTACACAGAAATTCACCTTTGGAAATGTTACTTCAAAAGCGCATTGTAAAAATAATGATAGCTAATCTCAAAATATAGAAATGTACACTGGCTGGGAACCTAATACTGTTAACTCCCGAAAAATACTCTTCTAATAGATGTGTTTTTTCTCTTTGAAAAATTTACCTACTCATAAGTAATCAGCCTTGAAAGCATTTAAAAAAAACAAATGTGTTATGTAGATAGAAATCGCTTTTTATTTATACATACATTTTATCTTGTATCTTCTCTGAATTACTGGAATGTAGATATTGCTAACCTGTAAAATCCTAAATTTATTTTTAGTCCAACTAATTCTAGATATTAAAGCTAAAACAGATGATTAGTCATTTTTCAAATAGTTAATTTAAATGTGTAAGTCAAGTGTATTGACGTTTCTATTTTGTCCTAACAACCTGTTGATAGTGTCAGTCAGTCAGTTGCAACGTAGAACTTCGTACGTATGTACATAAGTTCATGTTGCCATACCACATTATTAGCACAGAGACGCAAATGTCAAATCAAATCCCATAGTGAGGTAGAGGTATTAATGTTACAATAAAGAAGACTAGAGTTCGAAGATATTATTCAAAAAATATAATTCAGTGAGATAAGGTTAGAAAGACAAAGGTAGAGGTGCTGGCTAATCCAGAAGATTAGGATTTGAGAGAGCTCAAAGAGTGGATGCACCTGCGCCATTGTAAACGATTTTGAGCCATGTCGTTCAAGGTCTCTGACCATTGATGACTTTCGTCTCGCGGACCCCAACCAGGTAGTCTACATCTACCAACATGACTCAGTCCACTTGTCAGTGACTTCATGGTAGTGTTGCTTACTGCAAAATTATTGAGGTGAAAGGTTTGTAAAATGTTTGAAATTCCAGGTTATTTCCTTTCACTGACTGATAGCTAGAGAATCAAATAAAATGGAGGGCACACTAAACAACTTTCTTATCCTAGCTTGCTGTTCATTAGCAGTACGCACCTACAGCTAAATCACGACACTCACGCCCTCACTTCGATAGGAATTTTCAAATTTTTAATCAGGAAGCCTAACTAACGATAGCACTATATCAGTAATTGGCTGGAATTGTAATTGCGGATCAATAATTTATAATTGAATAATTCACAGGTATTGTATCCGTTGCGAGACCTAAAAGTTATGAACCCAGTCCTTATTTGGTCATAATTTTTCCGCTTCTGAGGAGTCATAGACTAGGATGAAATAGTTCTCTGAGCAGTAGTTTAATCAATCAATAGCAACGTAGAACTTCGTACATACGTACGTACGTATATCAGTTAATGTTGCCATACCACATCAGCACAGAGATATAATTGTCAATTTAAATCCAATAGTAGAAGAGGTAGTAAGGTATTAGCCGAAATCAAAGAGATTGGGGTTAGATATTATTCAAAAAGTAGGATCTCGTGAAATAGACTTAGAAAGATAAAGATAAAGTGAGGAGGAACTCAGAAGATTTGGATTTGAGAGAACACAATAATTGCACCTGCGCCATTGCAAACGGTTTCGAGTCATGTCATTCACGGCATCTAACCATCGATTACTATCATCTCGCGGACCCTAACCAGGTAGTCGACACCTACCGACATGGCTCAGTCCACTTGTCAGTGACTTCATGGATTTCTGCCATGTTTTGGTTTGGCTGGCCCTAGCTTTCTTCCAACCTACTACACCACAAAATATAGCTCGACGAGACAGTCGGTGGTTAGGCATACGCAACACATATCCTCACTGATGAAGTTTCACTACTCCAGCTATTGATCTGCCATCCATACCTAAGAACCGTTTCCTACCGATAGCATCGCTCACTCAGCTGTCCCATGATACACAACCAATGCTTCGGAGACACCTATGATTGAAGACAAGCAACCTACGAATATCTTCTACTCTGACTGGCCATGTTTCATAGCCATAAAGTAAGATGGAGCGAACTGGTCCTTTAGTCA